GTAGGTGACAGGTTTCTAGGTCCTGTTGTTTTACCAAACCGATTAACAGGCGCTGCTTACCTCAACTTTCTGCAGAACACACTGTATGAGTTTTTGGAAGACATTCCTTTGAATCAGAGGCAACAAATGTGGTTCCAGCATGATGGTGCTCCAGCTCATTTTTCCATGGCCGTTAGAGAGCATTTACACCAAACTTTTCCACATAGATGGGTAGGAAGGGCCGGACCTGTTTTATGGCCTCCAAGATCGCCTGATCTGAACCCTCTAGATTTCTTTGTTTGGGGATATTTGAAGACATTAGTGTATGGTACTCCTGTAAATAGCCTGGAAGAGCTGCAGCTACGGATTAATCAAAAGTGTCAAGAAATCCAAACCAAGGAGGGTGTTTTCGAAAGAGTTCGAATATCGTTGAGACGAAGATGTCGTGCCTGCTTGGAAATGGACGGAGGGCACTTTGAACATCTTCTGTAACTTTGTTTTTTGTTTGTTAAAAGCTTCCTTTGTCGGTTTATTCCTAATAAAATAAAATGTTTGAAAAACGAATAGTGGTCCATATCTCCGCAACCGTTACTTTGCGGACCCATGTTTATTAAGACTTTTCTGCTTATTTTGGTTCATACTATTACCTCCTGAAATATTTTCAACTCTTTTTTTAACACCCTGTATATGGATGTATTTTTGTATCACAGCTACCTGCCTGCATTTGCCTTAGTGCAAAAATTTAATCTCTTACTTCTTTCTCATCTAAAGAAACTTTGATATTCACCTATAATACCCTCCATGGTTTCTATTAACTTTTTTCAATGTGCATTGCTAATATTAAATATATATAAATTTCAAAAAGTAGATAATATAATTCTACACGTACTAACTAGTGTGTATACACAATTAGAGATTGAGAAATGCGTCAGAACAGTTTTAAAATAATTATTTGAAATTGATTTTTTTATAACATTTCAAAACGGCTGGGGGCACCTTGTAGTGAAATTTTGTGTAAATGTTTGCGTAAAGGAAAAATATTGGAAGAAGACGCTCTGTGAACACTGTCAGTAGTGTCACTCTGTCAGTGACACTGTCGTATAAAATATTTTCAAGTCTATGAGTTATTTTTCTTAATCTTCAAATTCCTTTATTAACTAAAATTATTATTTAGTAATAATCATTTAACAGCTTCCCTTATAATTAAAGCAGATTGTGTGAATCGGGATTTGTGAAAGCAAATTTTACCAAAAATTGATATTTTTATGATTATGAATTGAATTTTTAAAAAGAGACGAACGTTTTAATATTGGCGAAATTAGAGGCATAAAATCAGTCAAGTAAGGATCAACATATTTAATGAATGATTTTATTGTGTTTATTTATATAAAATACCTATTTATTTATGGAAATTTATAGTGCAATTCGGGAGTCTTATGGAGATAATGCCATTGGCTATGTGAAATGTGGAACAAAACACCACTTAAATTTTGTTGAATCCATTACAATCAGGAAATTAATAATAACTATCACAAATACTCTTAATTGATAGACTGCTGTTACTAGTGTCACTTTTGTTTAAAAAACAGGAAACAGGGCAGCAGGGTTTGATGGACAATTTTGACATATTTTCTTCTTCTTCAAAATTATGCAATAGGATCGCTACTAGCTTCTTGTTCAATTGCCCCTTATGACGTCAGACCAGTTTTTAAGTAACGCAAAGATTCATAAATGATTTCTACCACTAATTTGTCATATATTTAAAATGTTGTTGTTTTTATAGTGGACAACCCTATTCTGGCATCTACTTCTTAAGGATGGGGGATAGAATTACTTCCTTCCACTCTTCCAGTTACTATCCCTTACCAACTGGTTCTTCCCCTTAGTTTATTGATTTCCTCCATATGCCCTTCTCTCTTCCTTTTTTTGTTCTTTTTCTTCCCCAATTCTTATTTCATCTCCGTTACCGTCATCTTATTTATCTCCGTAAGCCCTTCTTTCTTCTTTTTCTTGTTGTTTTCCTTCTTCAGTTCTTATTTCGTATCCATCATCTTCTTTTCTTATCTCTATAACAGATTGTTGTTTGTTGGTATCCCTTTTTTCTCTTCTATTGTTTAGGTCAGATCGAGGGTCAGATACTACTTAATTCATTATTAGTCGCAAGATGACATTTTTGTTCAATTTTATGGATGTATTTATACACGGGTATATTTTCATGATGAACTTTCTCTTGATGGAAGAAAAACGTAGTGTCCTTATGCAAATACAGATACTTTGTATATATAAATAAATATATTATCGATTTGCTGTTACTTTTTTTAATAAAGCGTTTACTATTTTCAATGTGGCAATTTGGGGAAATACGAATTATCCTCGATAAGAGGCAGGACGTGATGAAACAACGCCTTGCAACCGTGATAGCCATGCGAGTAACATTAACTTAATGCATACATGCATGGTATGGGATTCCTCCCAGCTCTTGTGTTATTATAGCTATTTCTAATAGAAAGGGTCAAGGAATGGGTTTTGCTAGTTATTTAAATTACATATTATTCCAAACATACAAAACCGGTTATTTCACAATGAGTTCATAGCCGGTTTGCTCCGCGGAAAATAAACTTTGCGATCTCGTGGATATCTTCACAATTACGAGCATATGGGAGTTGTAAGATTCTGTGTTTATCGTTCTTAAGTGTCCCACCCACGTTCGCACTAATCCTCCGGTTTGACGGACCAAAAGTACGTAAACTGTTACTAAACTAGTAAAGGAAATAGCTTTTTTACATGTTTTATGTTAATGTATAATGTAGAACATGTTATCTATCCAACAAATGTTCAATTAGCTTTGTGAATATGATTCTAAAAATATACATAGGTATTGAATTTTCGAAACCGAGCGAGTTGCATAACTAAATTTGGAGATAGGGCATTGCTAATACAATACAAAACATCGCCTTAATGTTAAAAATGTTGTCATCACCGTTCTTGGTGGTGAAAATTCGAAATATTTGGAATTATTTAATTTTCGTAACTGAAAACATTGATCGATATACTCGAATTACAACTGAACACTTACAGCAACTGAACTGGTGAACTGATGACTGGAAATAATAACAAAAGCTTTCCGCAACCTCATAAATTCCTTTTGATTTCATCTCTAAATAGATTATTATAAGGATTTGTCTTTCCTTCATTTTTTCGTTCCGTACAAGGAATTGATAATTTTGCATTTATTTTATTCCTTACATAAATCTTTCCTGGCTTCCTCTCGCAGATTTTATTCAGCTTTATCGTCGATTTAACTCATTTGCATGCAACTTTACACATCAAAGCTGGGACCGTAATGTTCCAAGTCGTGTTGAAGCTACTAATGAACCATTTGATATGTAGATGGACTGTCAAGATGTCGGACATATCTGAACGTGTCTTTTGGTACTTGTTGGTTTCTAAGAAGCAGTTGATTTATATAATTTACTGTGTGAAATAATCAAATATTCTATCACTTTGAGTGATTAGGTGAAAAATGTAAAAATACAACAAATTATACTCATTTACGATGCAAGGACACGATACAAATGTAGGAAGTTGAAGTTTATTTCGTATCCTCTTCGTACAAACCCAGTCAAGTTGCAATATAATATTTGCTCGCCTCGCAAACAAGATATGACGAACCCTGGGAACTAATTCTCGTTATTTGCACTGTGATTCTACCGCTTAAACTTAATTTAAAATTTAAATTAGTATTAAGTTTCAAGGAAATACTCGGTTATAATCACAGACAGATTGTGCGAAATGTAATAGACGAGTTGATTTCGATGTTAAAACAAATTTGAACAGTTATGCATTTTTAATATTAGCTTCAGTCCTTTTGATTAACTTTGAAAGATATCAGTCTAATTCAAATCAAATCTAAACATATTCCTAAAATTATCAAATGATGAATTTATATATGCCCTTTGGCAACAACAAGAAACAACAAAGCAAATTTCTTAAATTAATATTATAATCTTGAACTAAATAAAATCTCTTCCAACAAGAAATCGTTCCTTTAAATGAAGATATAACTTTTTCTCTAATATGATTTAAATTTAACTATTATTGAGTCATTTTTTACTCAGACTTGGTTTTTAATTAACTAAATATTGAGTGCAAAATAAATCACTTATAAATGATTAATTAGGATATACAGTGTTGAAATTAATTTCCTTCGCGGGGCCTCCTCCTGTCCTGGCTGAGACCCGCCAGCTGAGACCCGTCGCCGCCGGCTAAGGCTTGTTCTCCTGGCGATCACGCTTTTCTAGAACATCTAACGGGCTCCTATCAACTGTGGTCGATATTACAGAAGCAATATGTAAGTGGTGCCATCTTCACGGCGACATTCAAATTACTCGAAATTAATATACATTTAAACACTCAGTAATGAGGACATTTACGTGAAGAATTTATTTAAAGAGTACCTATCTATATTTGAGTGAAAGTACTAAGTTTTAGTTTGAATATAATCACAAATGAGTAAAATGTACAGAATACCCAATATTGAGTGAAAATTTACTCAATAATTTCACTCAATGCAATTTTTTTTAACCATCATTAAGCAGTTGCCCATCATCTGCACTAGCTCTACTTTATTCTGCTCCTTCTATTACACCAGCGCCATATATTTTGGTCATTGAGAGCCTTTGAATAGAAAACTGGAAAGATTCCTTGGGGAAAGACTCCATTAGTAAAATATTTGTAGCAACACACACAACACCGATAACTATCACTGATTTTATTATTTATTTTATTACCGAGACCCTTCCGAAGGCAACTATAAATATCTAACGCAAATCGAGTTACGGCAGCATACGAAATTAACTTTTGCGGGACCAGTTTTTGCAAGCACCTATTTCATTCTGGTATTTCTCAGGTGGTAGCTGGTTTATGGCGATTTTATGGTCCATTATCTTACGAATGCTGAACACTTCGCTAGGTGGAATGTTTTGAACAGGAATCATAACGATTTTCTTTTTTTTTTGCAGATGACGCACCACAGCCGGCTTGTGATAGGAGCTTTTCTAGTCTTAAGTAGCTTATACGGAACTTTAGGTAAGTACATTTTTGTTTATACCTAGAAATTTAGAAGGACGTAATTACTTCCTAATGGCATTTTAATGAAAAAATATGTCTCTCACTTCCTTCGAATTTTATAAGTTTAAAATAATTTAAACAATATAACACAGTTAAAAATGTTTAAATTAATTTAATTTCACATAAAAAATAGCAATGTTTCATTCGAAATTTAAGTCCAAAAAATCATTTCCCATTTTCTAACTGATATACAGGGCGTCACATTTCTTAAAAAATATAACAATTCTACACTTACGATTTTTCCTACTTTTGATGACTACATTTGTATTGTATTTTGAAGTCATTTTCGATTTATTCAGCAGTGTTTAAATTTTCAACACGGTTTTAAAAACCAGTAGCTTTAACCTCTTGGTCCATTAACCTTTTTAAACCAAAATGGCCCAAAATTAAAAATTAATCTATTTAAACGACGTATATTTTAAAATGACTAGCGTAATTTCCTAAGGAGAGCAAGTGGGTCATACAGTCCGGATATTAATATAAGCCCTTTACTGACCTACATTATGTATAATCTGAGGCTGACACTAGTTTCGTTCTGGACCAGGTGGCCATTGTAATTGCTGCTGAAAATAGGACTATCTAGGATAGGTCGGGTCAGATCAGGTTAAAGCTAAGTTACAAACTTGTTTCAAAGAGCTGGATATTCCGGAATCTAACAAGCCCTCTTATGGATAATTTTTCGTTTCAGATTTAAAAGAATGTGAAAAAAAACTGAATTTAAATAATAGTTTTTGATATTATAAAATATGTAACGGTATTCAGACAGCAAATACGTACTTTAAAAGGTACTGCGGATATACAGGGTGTCGGAAAAAAACGTGAATCCCTCTATAACTTTTTCATATAAAAGTTGTAGGATATCAAGAGATCAATCTGCTGCTCACGATAGATTTAATCTTCAAATATTCCTTACCTTGGGGGTCACCGACATTTTGGTTTCTCCATAATCTACAACTTTTTTCTGAAAATCTGATAATAGGCTATTGATTATAGGATTTTATTATAAAGGGTGGAAATTGGAGATAGGGGTGAAAATGCACCCCTTTCAGTTTTTTCATTGTAACTCGAAAACGAAGCAAATTTTCGCTATAGTTCATGGGGAAAATTATTTAGAGAAATGAATTTTCTATTGAAATAGCTTATTTAAAAAATTTAAAAGGAAAATTTAAAAAAAATCGTTAATAAACTATTTGAAAAAAAAGCAAAAAATTCGATTTTTTGCCTCTAGTTTTCTTTTGAGTAAAGACAGGTACAGGTATTGCTTTATAAAAAAAATAGATAAAATTTCCTTGAAACAAAGAGGTTCAAACAGTATTTTTGTATGAGAATTGACTGAATTTGATTTTTTTTACTTTTTTTACTCTAATTTATGTTATAAACGACGAAATATGTACTAGAAAATATTTAACTTTGACCGGTTATAACTTTGTTAATATTAGTCCAAAACCTTTTGAAAATGCATCATTTTGAAGGGAATTTCATCTAGTTTTTTTGTACAGCAATTTTCTTTGCCTACTTATACTAAAAAAAAAAAAATTTGAAGGAAATTTTATCTACTTTTTTATGAAGCAATGCCTATACCTATCTTTACTCAAAAAGAAACTAGAGGTAAAGAAGTAAAAAATAAATTAAAAAATAATTTTTTTCCTTTTTCAAATTGTTTATTAACGATTTTTTGCATAAAGTTTTCCTTTTAAATTTTTTAAATAAGCCATTTCGATGGAAAATTCAATTCTCTAAATAATTTTTCCTATGAACTATAGCGAAATTTTGCTACGTTTTTGAGATACAATTAAAAAACTGAAAGGGGTGCATTTCCACCCCTATCTCCAATTTCCACCCTTTAATTTAATAGCACACCGCGTTTTTTTCATCTAAAATGACCCTCTGAACGAATCATGCAATAAAATTACTTCAATGTCATAGTTCCTTTTAATTCTCTTTTTTTGGATAACTAAAACATGATAGGCTCAATCATGACAAATTTTTGGATAGGTTCGGGTCTTTTTGGGACACCCTGTATATAACATGGACAAATAAATCATCAATAACTATAATAGTGCAAAATTATCTTCTATTTGGTTAGAAAGTACAGAAACATTATTGAAATGGCAAATTTGGGTTACCAGTTACATAGTGGAATGAAAATTAATGGATAAAGTTCTTGGAGAAAACCACACAATATTACCGTGCTAAAACTGAAATTTTTGTTTTAACTTCTTACAAATCTTGCTCGAATTTTGAAATCTATGATTCATAAAACATATCTAAACTTTAAACATAGAATCATCCCTATAAGAAAATATTGTAATTTCAAATAAAACATTAAATTAAAGATAAATCCAAATAAACCCATTTTAAGTATCGAAACTGCTCATATACAGGGTGTACCATAATTAATAGCGCAAATTAAAACAGCTGTAAGTACTAGATATTAGAAGTAAAAAAATCTTAGGAAACACGGGTCCGCAAAGGGACCGTTTTCGAGATATAGGGTGTCAAAAAAAATAATTTTTTTTTTCAAATTTTTGACGATACCGCAGGAATGTTTGAGATAAAGAACTAAGATTTTGTACACGTATTATCACTAACATTACCTACTTTAGAAAACATTAGCGGATTAAAATAGGCTTTCAAAATACCAATTGTCCCAGAGTCATAAAAGTTAGGGGCAAAAGAACCTTACGCGGTCCTAAAATCTCCGCCATTGTCATGTGAATAAAAATTGAACTAGCGCTCAAAAGCAGCTAATGTTAATGTTAAGACGTGTACAAAATTTGCGTTGAAAAAACTGAAAAAAAAAATATTTTTTTACACCTTATATCTCGAAAATGATGCGCTTGCGGACCCATGTTTCCTAAGACTTTATTGCTTCTAGTATCGTGTGCTTACAGCTGTTTCAATTTGGGCTATTAATTATAATACACCCTGTATAAAACGTTCAATTAAAGATAAATCCAAACGAACCCGTTTTGAGCATCATTAAACACCAAAAGCGGTTTTTTCATGTTACTGAACCCATTAGTCCACGATATTAGGGCCTAGATTTTGCCTGGACCCGTACGCATTCATAAAATGAAGGCAACCGTAACGTATACACGTACGCGGTTACGGCAGTGCCGTAAGTTCGTTGCGCTCCGAAATGATTTTTTCGGTCGTTTCTGCTCAAAGCGAAACCACAGCGGAACCGTTAAAATGAATAGTTCTCCTCGTATGTGGATCAGTATCATCACCACGGAAAATAAATGGTATACATAAATCTACCCTGATTATGAAAAAATATAAAGTGTTTTGAAAAAAGTTATATAGGTGATTCTCTGATGTGTTGATCTGAAACAAATAATTTATTAATAATATTCTGGACCTATATTGTCCGATATAGTTTCAGCTTAATTGGAAAATCCAGTGGCGTGCAGTTTTTTTTAATAAATCGCTAGGCCAGCTCAAAGCTGCTTATAGTTTTAGTGTTTCAGTTCGCGGTGGTTAATAGACGCGTCGCATAGTACGCGGGTAGCGTAAAGATGTCAGTGTGAGGGATAGTACAAAGGCTTTAAGGATAAGGACAAGGCAGGTATTAATTTAAAGTAAATAAAAAACAACTTCCTTACAATAAAACAAAGTAAAACTAAATTTAACGTAATTTAATAGATGCTTATTATATTATCAAATACCTACATAGGTAGCTAATAATGAAAGAATTAAAAACGAAGAAAAATTTAAAAACATTTTTAATTATGCGAAAAATATTACTGGACTACCAAGTAAACGTGGCAAAATTTGCAACGCATTAGAAATATTTTCGAAATATATTTCCCCCTAATTATCTACTCGTTTTGGGAATTTACATGATATAATTTTATTTGCTTTAATAGATTGCTCAAAATTTCCCGAGTATATATAAGCAAATTTCCCGAAAAATCGTTTGAATGTTTATTACAAATGTATCCAAAGTTTTTGAAATAGATAGGTTGAAAAACGAACTTACTATTTTGTACAGAGACGAACAATTTCGTAATTTAGAAATTCAAAAAACGATAGAAATATAATACAAGGAATTTAAAATGGTATTTCCGCAAACATACAAATTGTTTTGACCAGTTTTAACAATTCCTGCAACAAGTGTCTCGGTAGGAAGAAACTTTTTGTGTCTTAAGCGCATTAAAACTTACCTATGTACCTACTTAAGAAATACGATGACACAAGAGCGCTTAAACAACTTGAGGGTTGCTTTCGCTGTACAGCAAAAACAAAACGCTCTCTCAATGGTACAAATAACTATTTTTATTGAAAACTAAGCTTGTGGAAAAAGACGTGTTGTCGGTTCGAATGTTTGGTGGAGAGTATGCATCTGGTCGCCGACGCCAGTCCGCCGTAGACCCTTCCTGGAACGCTGGTGCGTCCGGCGGCATCTTGCTGGCGCTCTTGACGTAATGCTTAAAAATGGGTCACTTGCGGCATGTGTACCCATAAACTTATCAGTGATGATAATAAAAAAAGAACTATTATAAAGTCTTAGTGCCGATCCTCACTTTTATGAAGACATTATAAGGAAATTTACAAATTTAAAAAACGGACGAATAAACTTGTTTTATAAAAACTTTCACTATGTTTTTAAAATGTTTTGTTAAAAGTGGAGGCAAACGAAATCTGGCGGCGTTGTTTTGTATATAAATAGATAAGTTGTAATGAAAATTAGTTTTTATATTTTTTCATATTTTTTAATATTCTTAAGTAGGAACAGTTTTTTAATTATTAGGTGAACATATAACACCAGTTTTTCTATAATATTGTAAATGCAACTAAAAATTTCCAGATGCATTTAGTCGTTTGATCCTGAAAATTTTAAAAAATTTGCCTGCGGCGCTTTTTTTTCTTTCTGAGACGAAACAAGAGAACATTTTTTTCTGTCAACTATCTGCAGATTTTAAATATGTTTTTTTTTAACTTTTTATGAGCATATCACTTTTTTTTTTAATTCCCCCGTGATACCATTTACACGCCACTGGATTTTTCAATTCAACTGAATCTATACCCGACAATAGACATTCAGAATATTATTCGTCATGTAAAATCAAAAATTAATCGTAGTATAAATTTTCCGAGATATAACTATAGCTATGTTACTTTTTTAATTTCAACACGCTGTATCTTACAAATGAAGCTGAAATATCGCCCGTTCTTTAGCTGATGCCCTGTACTGCCTCTATTTTCAATTATTTATATCTTAAAAAGGAGCCATATGCGATACATTTCATTCGGACTGTCCATGCGATCACAGTGCGCCACTGGCCTGGATAATTAGGATGGCAGATCGAGACCGACTAGCGCGTACCTGAATTTTAATGGGCTTATTTACCATTTTCCATATGTGTGCCAGTAATTATTGCCGAGGAGTCGAGTTACTGGCGAATTTATAAGGCTCTCAGACTTAGCGCTTTAATATTTAACGGTAGATTATGAGGAATTAATTGGTGCGGTTTAAATTTCACCTGGATGTGTGCCAGGAAGTTTGGAAATGAAATTGATACACTCGGAGGACACTGCAATTGTGCTGTGCGGGTAGGATTCATTCCGATGTGGGTCAAGTTTGAAATACCTCATTTGTTTCAAATGAATGTTTGAATTGTAACACTTTTATATCCGCATTTAGTTTTGGTTTAGGAATAGGATCGTTTCCATAAATTAAGTTCTAAATAAAATATTGTACAACTCTGAAAACTTCTACAATTCTGTCATGTCTTTTTATGTTATTGATTTGGCAGTGCCAATAATGTCCAATAGTAGTGACTAGTCACTATCTCATATATCGACCAATATTAAGCCTATCAATAAAACAAACAATAACTACGAAAGAATAGTTATTAATAGGTAGTGTAGAATCAAGATATAGACGGACTATAAGCGAAATGATATAAATAACAGCACCTAATTCATTTGAAATAATTTAATATAAAGATATATTGACCGCTATTTGTGGATCTTTTCTTTAACCGAGTTATCTTCCTTTCCAGGAAGGATAGCATTCGAAAAACTGACAGACTTCGACTACAGGGGGAACACCTATTATACCGTGAAAAACTTGAGCTTATACGAATGCCAAGGGTGGTGTCGAGAAGAACCGGACTGCCAGGCTGCCGCGTTCAGCTTCGTCCTGAATCCCCTCATACCCATCCAGGTAAGTTATAATAAAACAACTAAAATACTGTGTAAAAAGAAGCTTTAAAGGAGAGACTAGATCAAGAACTGAGTCCACAAGCTTCCTTGAGTGGAAGTGAAGTATAGCAGCTTTGTTTGCTAAGTTTACTACCTTTTTATAAAAGATTTAAGATTTAAATAAGATTTAAGATTTATTTAAGATTTAAGATTTAAAGATTTAATCTGGCTGCGACATATATGTTAGATGGCCATTGAACAGGATACTGAAAATACTTCTCTCAGTTTTCCCTGCATCTGCGACTGATTATTCTTTTCTACTTTCTCGCAGGAAACGCTGTGCCAGTTACAAAACGAAACCTCTTCGAACAACCCCTCGGCGACACCCCAGAGGTCGGTCAACATGTACTACATGACCAAACTCCAGCTGAGATCGGAGAATATCTGCCTGAGACCATGGGCCTTCGAAAGAGTCCCCAATAAAATGATCAGGGGACTGGACAACGCACTCATCTACACGTCCACGAAAGAAGCCTGCCTTGCAGCTTGTCTAAACGAGGTATGTATAAAATTTTATCCCTGTAGTTCGTCTTAAGAGGGCACTATAGCAAATAGGCAACCACCAATACATTTTATTACACAGTTTGTCTGAATATGAATCAATGCACAAATAACAGACTTTCCTCCATTCTAACGTAGATTTCCTATAAAATAGAGTTAGTTTGAAATTCAAATTACTTTTTGTTGTAAAGAAATTTGTAATTTGCTGCTTTTTAACAAGTAAATTACAAATCTCGTTACACCAAATAGTAATTTGAGTTTCAAACTAAGTCCATTTTATAGAAAATCTGTATTAAAATGGGGGAAAGTCTGTTATTTGTGCATTAATTCATTTTTAGACAAATTGTGTAATAAAATCTATAAAAATGTATTGCTGGTTGCCTATTTGCTACACAGCCCTCTTAAGTACATTGTTTATTTCCTCATTGATTTAGCAACTTTCTTGCTGATTTTTACTTAAGGAATTTATATACTCCTTCGTTATACGTTCTTTAAATGGTAACTAACTTTTATAGATTTTCTGGTAGATGCCAAACTGAAAACCTCACTTCTGATTTATCGGAAAGCATCTCATCTACCGATGCGCTTTTATTTTACCGTTACCTTCGGGCTAAATCATAAGTCTTCGCCAACGTATCGCACATCGTTATATCCTTTCCTAGGGTCATGTGTGTGCATCGTCATTATGATTTTTGCCATTAAAGCTAAAAAGTAGTTCGTATAACTGAACCTCATAGTAGCCGCACATAAGCTACCTGCCATACGCCGCGATGACCTCTGCGATATTGCGGTGCTCATAAACCAGTGTGAATAACAGTAGCGTGCATCCTATTTTTCTACCCCAGAAGAATGGACAACGGAAAGAATGAAGTGATGGTCGGATAGCGACTGCATGTTGCAGGCTAGCCAACTGATTTTGTAGAACACCCTGTATTCTTCGAATAATAATTTTATTCCAGGATCACCCTATATATTTGAATATCAAAAATTCAACAAACTATTTTTCACTTTTAAAGTAATTCATGCACCTTATATTTTCTTTATGATCAATTCTATCAATTCTCATTTACGTATTCCGAATAAGGACCAAAAAAGTACATAAGGAGTTTGTCCCATCTTCGCTGTTACATCCTGTTTAAAATGCCACCGTTAATTCTCACATATATAATATTAAAAGCAAGTCGTATCAGGAAATGCAAACACTTTCATCATGCATCTACCCAATAAGGTACTATGAACTGGATTTGTGTTAAGCCATTATAAATTAGTCATAAGGGCAATTTCCTCTCACAATATCTGTTACAACGTTACAACTATGCGTGTATCGAAACAGATCTTAAAAAAAATTAAGTATGACATCCAACACTTGTGAAACAAGTGTTTTTTATAAATTCCCTGATTGTATAACTGTCCTGGACAACCTGTTTACGGCAGGATATGATTATTATTCCGATAAAACGCACCAATGCTGTTAGTCCCATGCAAATTATTTCCCGCTTATGGAAATAGGCAAAACTGAGATGAGCCGGCTTTTGCCTAATATGAAAATAAGTGGTGGCAAGCGACAGTAACTGTATCTGTTTTGAACTAACCCTTTTTTTAAGAGCAAGAACAGTTACGGTGCGTTTATTCTAATCTCTAGAAGAAAATTGCAAGATGCAAAAAAGTCCACGTCCTTACGGGTAAATAAGGTTTTTTACATATTAAAAATTGCAGCTGTATACGGTTTTATACTTGCTCCTACATTATCATCATTGCTCCTTCCATGTTTGCTAAATGATGATGGAATTGTGTCATGCATAAAGTGATAAAAGTAAATTATTACAGGTACGTCACTTTGAACCTTATTCACTCAAAAGTTTTGGAAGTCAACCGAGGGGTTCTCGAAGTCAACTGCATTTTTATTCAAAAACAGTACGTTTTAATTGATTTCAACAAAAGTACTCTCATATCTAATGAAATCTAATGAAATTTTACTTATAATACATGATATTCTGTATGAATTTAACTTCGAAAAAAGGTATGTCATAAAATATCAAAAATTGTAGCTAACGATATCTAGAATATGGTGAAAAAACTAAAAAGCTAACAATTCTAACTATGTAGGATCCTCAGAAACTTGTATCAAATTTGTATCAATACATTCCATTTTTTTTTTTGTTCTTTTGGAAAAGATATGGGCTAAAATTTTATTAAAAAATCATCTTTGACGTCCTGTATCTCTCAAAAATAATAAGTCCACAGAAAAATATCGTCTTATTTTTTTATGTTGTCAGAACCTGAATTTATGGTACCTTTTCCAAAAAAACCCTTATACTATATTCGATTTTCTTGCAAATCGCTCCATATTATTATCACTTAATTTTTGTTATTCACAATAATAAATAATACTTTTTCAATATAAAGAAATTAGGAAAATAAGTTATATACAAAAATTGAATGATCCATGCATAAAAAAAAAACTTGACTATCGTTAACGAAAATGTTAGTTTATGTAATACCTGAAATTGTGAAGCTCGATTTAGCTTTTAGTATTTGCAGTTACAAAGTTATTTCAGAACATAAAAAAAAAACAGGAGTATTCAAAATATGAATTGAAATATGCTTATAAATTGAAGTCGTTTTCCAGGAATTAAACAAAAACAATGGAATTACAAACATTTCGAAATTTGACACACCACAAATTCACAATATCATGCAAAAAGAAAGCTTACCTTTGAACTTCAACCAAAGTGACGAACTCCCTCGAAGAATCCCGACCATATCCTGGCACATACACTCGCGAAACTCGAAATTGGTGAGTTTACAATTGATTCTTTATCACTCGAGGAATACAACGATAACGTAAATTACCGAACATTTCTAATGGTGCTCACCAATCAACGGATATCAACGAATTTAGTCACTAAGTTGATGACGACAATCAACATAACTCCGATTAGTCACTTATAGTCACTATCACTAACACTCTTTCATCACTAAACCATTGGGGATGTCCTTTTAGGTTGCATTTATGGAACACTGGAATAAAAGTATTATATTAGACTTTTAGAAACACAACTATTTTCTTTAGCGTATTGTAGTGGTACACTCAAGAGCATACTCTTAAAAAAATTGCAACATAATCTTTGTTTGGAATGTTTTCTTTTAAATCAACTCAAAAAACACGAACATCAGCTGAGTCTGACTCTCATTCATTGTGAAATATTGAACTTATCCATGTTTTCCTGAATTCAGAAAAGCGGGGAAAAAATAAAAAATGATAAACTAAATTTTGGGTTAGTTTTTCGTTGAAATTATATCCAGTGTATTGTAGATGTACACCTATGCGAGTAACAGATACTATTGGCCCTTGTTGGCACTACCATCTTAGCAGAATTATTGTTAATATGAATGTAATGAAAATTCCCAATTCTTAATATTTTAATAAAGAAATCATCGTTCTCCATTTAAAAAGGTATTTTGAGGAATTACAATAAATACAGAAGTAATTATGTGACATATTGAGTTTATTTTATAAATAAATATTTTAATCTTACTGTTTACTTTTCATTGCAACTTAATCATGATAAAGTATAAACTGGAAATAAAATTGTTCAACTACGGCTTTTGTTGCACTGGCCTGCGGAAACCTTGGGCGGATATGAAACGTTATATTAAACTATGTTAACTTCGCGTTAACCTGTTTGGCGTTAAATTATAACGCGGTGGAAGCAGGGAGTAATTCCAAAATTATATATTGTGACAGTTCAGCTGCGATGACGCGCCTTTTATGCGATTTACGGGTACGCCTCTGTTGCAGAACGCTGGCGTAGGCTGGCCATACACCAGCGGATTATTTAATGGACTCGGATTTGACGCTTCTCTGAACAAGAGTGCAAAAATTCCATCCTCTCTGAACAAGCTCTAGTTGGGAATCGACAATACTCCGTAGAATCTGTTATAAAATTCGCTAAACTTTATTTAACTAATGTGAAGTTAATGCCTGGTAATTTGGACCGTTCGACAAATAAAGGAAAACAATATGGTTATACTCTTTTTTGTTGCAATTTATTTTCTTTTAAACATTCTTTGCTTATTCAAATCCAAAGCCTATCCAAAAGATCAAGGAACCACCTTCTATGCCCCAATTCAAGTACACCCGTTCTGCGTCAGTAACATTTTGTCTACATTCACCATATATTAATAGCATATCCTCCTGTTCATGATTATTACAATTACATATTTCAAAAAAAAAAACAAACCGTAAATAAAATTAACGCTCAAAAACATTCTGATTATTATTATACAGTAATAAGAGTACAGTAATAACAGCAGTATATAATAGTAACAATTATTACTTGTCAATAATTTACCGGGCTAATTAGAGCTAGAATTTCCGATGAATTGGTCCGACTAGATACCTTGGCTTCGATCCGCAGATCGAAACCATTAAAAAGGTTCGCTCGTGTACGGCGTGCCTTAGCCTCGATCCATGATGTCTGCTGATTAGCTCGGGTGATATATATTGGCTGTAAAAGTTAGCCCTGGCGATCTGTAAACAAACCAAATACGTTTGTTAATTAAAATTTGATTAAAATTTGTTTACATCTCAGTTGGCTCAGTGATTAACTTTTCAGCTAATTCGATAGGAAATTAATCACACCCGCACGCAGACAGTTGAGGGCTGTATCTTAGATTACTATCGAACAGTTATGGGGAATATGTTTACCTTAAAAAATGTTTCCAGTTAATTTTTTACCTAAAATGCCTATACAGAGTTGGATATTTTTGTTAAAACTTTAGATCGGTCCCTCTCTCTCTCTCTCTCCGAACGTGATTGGCTCACGACTGATCTCCTCTACATATACGTGACAGGAACAGCCAATGACATTCGGCGAGAGAGAGATAGCACGTACCTTCATAGCAGCCAGCTATCTCCCTTATAATGGCTTGTTTCACTCATTTCTAATGTACAGGGTTAGTCACTATAATCTGACAACTTATTGTGAGTTTATTATTAAAGTTACAAATAAAGTTTTTAATACAAAAGTTTCAGCTTTCTTATGAATTTTTATAAAACAGTATTAGAAAAAACAATTGAATAATGGAAATCACTGAATTAAAGAAACATTTTTTTTTAAATGGAACGCCCTATATATTAGTGTATTAGTGTAGTACAGCTTCGTTAAATTTGTCCCTTTTCAAAATAAATATAATACGTTACTCTTAGATTCAGGACTTTTCGACATATTTCAGTTTAAAACTCGCCTAGTTCATAGCTACTGCGATCCGTCAGGCTCCTGTTTTTTCAAAAATAATATTTAATTTAGTGATTTCCATTATTCAATTGTTTTTTCTAATACTGTATTATAAAAATTCATAAAAAAGCTAAAACTTTTTTATAATTTCAATAATAAACTCACAATAAGTTGTCAGATTATAGTGACTAACCCTGTATTCTTTGTGTTATTTCAAACATACCTAGTCATATTACTGAAGCAATTTGTCCAATTAGTTAACAGTTGTTTGTTAAAAGTTTGTTTTATTCTTTTTCGTTCCAATCATTGTCTTTCTGACCGTCAACATTTTATGATAGTTTCAGGGGAAATTTGTCGCATTGTAATCGTAATTTATATACCAAATTTTTCAAAATTTGACTCTTTTCATAAAACTCGTATGCTACTGGAAAAATAACTACATTTACAGTCGAAGAAACCCATCTAGAAGCAATTATTTTCTACGATACGAATTATAATTCCATCTAGGGTCATTTTTTGAGCAACCTTCGAACAAAGCGAGCGCCACATTTAGCAGCCAACGGCATTTTTGCTAATTGCAATAAGTCAAACCGTAAACGATGAGAAACAATACTTCGGACTCGTGACAAGAAATATCCATATCCATCGAGTTCAGGTGATGTCGTCGTATAATAACACGGCCTGACAGGAAATAACGGCACGACAATCGACGTTTCTAGAAATGGCCGATCCATACAAAATAATTAAAACCTGCTGTAGGAAATGCCAGAGCACGGGTGGTCCAAAGTGGCCGATAAGGAAGAACGTGCCGGCTAAAAACTGGGGTGATAAAATATAAATTGTATTTAACTGTTGTATTGTTTACGTTCATCGACTTTATAGTTGTTACGATCTCAATTGGAACCGCATAAAAACATTTAACTCGTAAATTCTACGGAATCCATAGACGTCCAGAAAAATTTAGCCCTGTCTCGTCTAGATATACTATATTCCGAGCTATATTACTATATAATTACCATACGATAGTCAAGTTTTTTATGTTTAAAATCGCATTGTATAGACCAAGGTCGATAATTTTTGAAACCAAAAAAAAAAATAGTAGGATGAAACCCATTGGAAAAGAAAGAGAATATAACAGAAATGAAAGGAAAAATAATTTACGGGCGATCTGAGGTCGGGAAGGGGAAGGGGGTGAGTTTTTAAGGGTAAAAAACGGTTTCCCTTGATTTCCGGAAAAACTACAAGTCTTATGGAAAAAAGTTAAATGGCAAAGTTGTAGGTAATAAAAAGATCTACAACTTTTGTATTTACACTTTTTTCACATAACCTCAAAATTTATGTGAAAAATTCAAATAACCAAGTTTTTGGTTTTTTATTTTTATCTTTTACAAACAAATTTTTTTTTCACGAAATTTGGTGAAAACTTACCTATTTATGTCCCAAACACGCTGTAATTTTTTTGATTTGAAATATTTATTTTTTCACCTTATTTTTACTTAATATCGAAAAAGCACCCTAATTTTCAATCGAAAATTCTCACGTCAAAATATCTGCTTTTTTAAAAACGTCGGTGGGCTTTTTCTTCGTTGAAATCTCTACTTTCTGATGGTGTAAAAAAAAATATACATTACTATGGTAAGTTTTCTCAGGAAATGCAAAGAAACGAAAGAAGATTCTACAACTTTCTCAAAATATTGTAGATGTCTTATTAAATATTAACTTTATTAACTTATTTGGTTGTTAATTATAATAGTATATTTCGACTTGTAATTTTTTTGTTTATCAATGTAACATGGAATCTTACGTTTTTCGAGTAATTAAAGTGTAAATTTTAATAAATAGCTCAAAATTGTACATAATGATTAGAAAAAAATTTTCGGATTCTAGTTCGTTTCTTTGCATTTCCTGAGAAAACTTACCATAGTAATGTATATATTTTTTTACACCATCAGAAAGTAGAGATTTCAACGAAGAAAAAGCCCACCGACGTTTTTAAAAAAGCAGATATTTTGACGTGAGAATTTTCGATTGAAAATTAGGGTGCTTTTTCGATATTAAGTAAAAATAAGGTGAAAAAATAAATATTTCAAATCAAAAAAATTACAGCGTGTTTGGGACATAAATAGGTAAGTTTTCACCAAATTTCGTGAAAAAAAAATTTGTTTGTAAAAGATAAAAATAAAAAACCAAAAATTTGGTTATTTGAATTTTTCACATAAATTTTGAGGTTATGTGAAAAAAGTATAAACACAAAAGTTGTAGATCTTTTTATTACCTACAACTTTGCCAGTTAACTTTTTTCCATAAGACTTGTAGTTTTTCCGGAAATCAAGATAAACCGTTTTTTACCCTTAAAAACTCACCCCCTTCCCCTTCCCGACCTGAGATCGCCCGTAAATTATTTTTCTTTTCATTTCTGTTATATTCTCTTCCTTTTCCAATGGGTTTCATCTTACTATAATTTTTTTTCACTTTTTTGTTTGCTCATGATCAAAGCATAAGAAGAAATTTCAAGTGAAGTGCATACGGTCCTATGCTTTAAGATTTACAGGTTCCAATTGACATCGAACAACTATATCTCCGTGGCGTTGTTTCTTTTGTTGTTCTCCAGGTATTTTTTACTACAAAGACCAATCAAATAAGAGTGAGAATGGTGTCTGACGCAGAATGTACGCGATATTTTTAAGATGAAAATATACCTCACAGAATCACCAAAAAGAATTGCAAACATTGTTCGATGAATATCTAAAGGTTTTTTTTCTAACCCTCCGTTCCCACACTTCGCTAATTGCCAGCCAATTTAAACGTGTATCGAGATCTAATCTCCCCTGATCTGTTTTCTTTCAGCATCGTTTCACGTGCCGCTCCGTCGAATACAACTATGTGACACTCCAGTGCCAATTGAGCGACACCGATCGGAGAACCGCCGGCCAATTCGTCCAGTTCGTGGATGCCCAGGGTGTGGACTACTTCGAGAACTTGTGCCTGAAGGGCAACCAGGCATGTAAAGGTAAGAAACGTTGCACGCTACAAAATTAGGGGTCGAATGAAAATATTTTTTCTGAAATTTCGAGTCAGTTGCGTGGAATTATTTATTCCTGCACTTTTAGGTCCCATGAAACAACCAAAGAACCAAATTACTACCATATTGTTACAAAATACTAAACGTATTAGTTAATTTCAACTTCTAATGAAAATCATTTCTTGACACAGCCAACCGAGTCTTCCAAGTACCCAGGATAGGGGTCGCCGACGACAAGGTGGCCCAATACGCCAGTCTCCACTACTACACGGACAAAGAGCTCCAGGTTACCAGCGAGGCCGCCTGTCGGCTGGCCTGCGAGATCGAGAACGAGTTTCTATGTCGTTCCTTCCTATACAAGGGTACGCCTCAGGGATCTCAGTACAACTGTCAGTTGTTCCACTTGGACCACAAGACCCTTCCCGATGGACCAAGCACTTACCTCAACGCTGAGAGACCTCTGATCGACAACGGAGAGAGGATTGGGACATATTACGAGAACAGTTGCGAGAGTATGTAGCAATTGTTATTATTTTTTTAATATACTTGTTTCTAATGGCTACATTATCGCTTTGATAAAAAACCTATATAGTCCAAGCATTCTGTCACGGATTAATGTTAAATTTGCAGAAATTATTACCTGGACAAAAAAATATGACCGTATAGAAAATTAAATTTTAAATTGAGTTTCTTGTTCTTTAAACTCGATCCAATATGGCGAACATGGTTAAAAAAAATCGCAAAGTTGAAAAAAACGGTTTTTCTAAAATAACTAAAAAAATATAGCACGGATTGAAAAATTTTAAATGAGAAAGTTGTAGGTTTTAAAAAGATCTATCGACTGATTTTTTGAAAGTATCGATTGCTTTGTTACTTTTCGAGATATATCGAAAAAACCGTTAAAAATCTTCTCTTTTCTCTTCTTCTATAACTCGTTTACATTTACGTGCCCATATTTGCTATTTACTGCAAGCATAGCCCGCGGCAAGCCAAAAAAGTACATTTTTGAAAAATTTAAAAATATTAATTATTTTTCGAGATATATCGATTTTTTGAAAAAAAGGCGCTCTCGAAAATTGGCTAGATCTTCTCAGCGGATAGCCCTACAGTAACGATTTTCGGTTTATTTTCTTCGTAAAGAGTTATATTATCATGCTGTTAAAAAATGTTGACGATTTTATTAATTTTAAGGATCAAAAAATGACTGAAAAAGTTGCACTTTTTTTGGGTATGTTTTTTTCAAATAACTATTTCAATTTTTATTATTTTTTTGTACTTAATCTGGGGTAGCTAAACACGAATATTATAGCATTTTCGCCTTAGAAGCAAAATAGACCCGTAAATGTTTAGTTTTCTTTCTTTAAAAGTCATTTTCATAAAATAAAAATTGAAATAGTAATTTGAAAAAAACATACCCAAAAAAGTGCAACTTATTCAAAGTCATTTTTTGATCCTTAAAATTAATAAAATCGTCAACATTTTTTAACAGCATGATAATATAACTCTTTACGAAGAAAATAAACCGAAAATCGTTACTGTAGGGCTATCCGCTGAGAAGATCTAGCCAATTTTCGAGAGCGCCTTTTTTTCAAAAAATCGATATATCTCGAAAAATAATTAATATTTTTAAATTTTTCAAAAATGTACTTTTTTGGCTTGCCGTGGGCTATGCTTGCAGTAAATAGCAAATATGGGCACGTAAATGTAAACGAGTTATAGAAGAAGAGAAAAGAGAAGATTTTTAACGGTTTTTTCGATATATCTCGAAAAGTAACAAAGCAATCGATACTTTCAAAAAATCAGTCGATAGATCTTTTTAAAACCTACAACTTTCTCATTTAAAATTTTTCAATCCGTGCTATATTTTTTTAGTTATTTTAGAAAAACCGTTTTTTTCAACTTTGCGATTTTTTTTAACCATGTTCGCCATATTGGATCGAGTTTAAAGAACAAGAAACTCAATTTAAAATTTAATTTTCTATACGGTCATATTTTTTTTGTCCAGGTAATAATTTCTGTAAGCATTTCTCTATAATGCTTGGACTAATAGGAAATTGAGCTACGGTACATAATTCATATGTTTCTCCATTTTAGTACTTAATTCCTTATTTTGTTTTGAACTTTTAATTTTATTTTATGAAATTTTTATATTCATTGAAGTATATCCCTTCTATGTTTTGGAGGTATCGAAAAAAGGAAAATTAAGCCTACTAACTAATGGTTATCATTTCAACAAAATTACTGTCTATATTTTTAATTTAACTTACTGAAATTGATTTTAATTGGACGAAGCATTTTTCAACCCAAATAAAACTGGCGCCAATATTATGCGCTTAACGACTGACTGTTAATTTTATTAAATTGCATAGGCTCTTTATCTCTATTTAATTGAATTGTGCTGTATACAGGGTGTCCCATTTTTTTCAAAATTCGGAAAATAAAAAAAAATAACGTCTTCAACTATTTTTCCCACGAACATATCTACCCATTTTTTATGATAACTAAAATTATATAATTTTTATGAACTTCTCTACCTCTTCTCCTTAAAAAGTTACAATAACAAACATTATACAAAAATGTATTCTATTGTATTGGAACTAGTCATGACTTAATCAACATTACTGTGAAAAACAATCGCTATAACTCCTATCGGATCAGCGCTCCAAGTTATTTAGCTTATAGTCATGGTAACCATTGGAGCTCAAAATTCATTGCACAGACCTTCTTTTTAAATTTAATGGAAAAGTGGCTCCTCGTATAGAATTTCTAGGATTTTCCTCAAAATATTTTAATACGGTACTGACTTTGAAATTCCTCTCATGATATAAGTTAGCAGCTCTTCTGGCATTTTTTTGACATTCACCATAAATAAAAATCGTGTTAGTAAACAGTTTTTAATTTTTAGCAACCACTTACTAGTTTGTTGATCATACAATAGCGTTTGACAGAAACTAATATGTAAACAGACTTGTGACAGCAGTTTCAGCCATTGTTTTTCACAGCAATGTTGATTAAGTCATGACTAGTTCCAATACAATAGAATATATTTTTGTATAATGTTTGTTATTGTAACTTTTTAGGCAGAAGAGATAGGGACAAAATTTCTGCACAAAAAATGTTCATAAAAAATAGATCATTTTGTTACCATAAAAAATGGGGATGTTCGTGAAAAAAAAAACGAGTGTTTTAATTTACTTACCTGTTTTAAGATATAATATGTAATTTAATGTTAAAAAATAATACTATTATGCATATTACAACCAAAAACTCGACTATCATTAAAATAAACTTTATACATAAAAAATATGTCATTTCCTGAGTTTTTTACATAAAAACATTGTTTTTTAAGAAACTTGTTTATTGGTACCATTGTCAATTATTATTTTTCGAAAAAATGCGAAAAAATATTTTTTTACAAAATTAATAGTTTATAACAAATTAATATAGTTTATAACAAATTAATAATTAATTATTGCAAAATGGACCGTGCAGTTTTTATTTTCATGCGCTACCCCAGATTAAAAAAAAACGTTAAATTGATCCACAATTACTGGAGATATCGCAAAATTTTCGGGCAATTAAGATTTGAAGTCTGGAAACGTTTCTGTCTTATTTCCCCCACCACATTCCAGGTGTAAAAATGTATTGGTGGACGTTTTTTAAAGCGTTAAAAAATTACTATAAAATACATATCTTTAACCGTTATTATGAAGTTTAAGGGTTCATTGATTTATTCCCGAAATTTTAAGTCTTAATGTTTATAAATTAAAAAAAAAACGCTATCTCGGCTAAAAATGGTCCTTTTTTTTTAAATTCGTAAAAAATTATCAGGATTGCGAATATCAAGGCGGCTTTAAAAAAATATTCATTCTTCGCAAAGTTATTAACGAAAAACCTTATAAACAAATTACACTATTTGTTTATACGCCGTTTTGAGGAGGTTAGCCTATGAAATTACAATTTCCAATTGCATATCTTGAAAATATAAGTCAAGACGAAACAAATGAGCCCTCATAAGGCCCTTTATTATAACGTTAACAACCGCATTTTGCAATTGAAAAAATGCTATTTCTAATAAACAAATGCAAAAACTCGTAAACAACTAAATATTTTTTTTTACCAAATTTACAGGGTAAGCGTAACAAAATACAACTTTTACTGCAGTTTAGAGATTTATGCTCTTTTCTTCTATTTATATCAAATTCAAATTTCGCTGTTTTTTTGCAATTATTTAAACAAATTGTTAATGGATTTTAATTTAGCAGGTCTCAAATGAAGCGTTTTTTGAAAACCTATCAGTGTAAACAAAAGCAAAAAATCCTGTTGGAGAGCATTTTTTAATACAGCTAAAAAACACAATTTTTTGTAATTTTTATATTATAATCATTGTTTAAACAATGATCTTGTTGTTTTAAACTGATACTTTGGAAAATATTATTTCTTTTTGCCTAAACTAAACGATTAAACCAAGTTTCAATCTGAAACGAATTACCTTTAATTTACATTACAAATTTCATTTACTGGGCTATTTCTACAAGAACCAAACATCTCTGTGCTCACTCTGCTCGCTGGAAATACTACTTCAGACAATACCGCCATTATCCCTAATAGGAGTAGCTCTTTTACGGTGACTGGCCCCAACAATAGCACAGTGAAATTATACATTACTGAAAGATATTTACTTTCGCGAGCAAACGTTATCATAGACATGCAATATAAGCCAATTGCGAATTTACTTAATACCAGACGTAAGGTTCCTCAGCCATAAACAAAGTCATTAAAGTCCATCCCACATGCATATTTCCCGGAAAGATATAAATGCGTGGCGCAACGCAAAGACCATTTTTACATAATAAGTAAATCTGCATTTTACAGAAGCAACCGCTACATCCGGTGCCCCATCTGATAACACTCTTCCTGTGGTTTTCGAGACCACCGAGGACTCGAATTTCAACCTCACCAAGAGCGACATCAACTGCGACAAGACGGGGACCTGCTATGATGGTGAGTACAATGGAAAATAATGCTTTAAATTTTACCACACAAACTGATTTGATATTTTTTGTAATTCCACACCCTGTATCTCGAAAACGACACATTTCCGTACACATGTTTATAAGAACCTTTTTATTGATTTGTGACATAGAATCCACCATTAAAGTTTGGCAGTGTATGTCATAAACTTAAACGTGACATTTTTGCGAGAAAATTATTCACAATCACACTAAATGTATTTTTGATATATGTCGTCAAGAAAATCACTCTTGGACAAAAGAACGACGCAGCGTTGTTATGGAGCTAGAAACTTTCCAAGGTAACTTGATGGACTATAAACTTAATGGACTAAAATATTTTTGTATAATTTATAAGAAAATTATTTTCAAAGTTCCATATCTCGAAAAGGCTTAAAATTATGTATAACTTTTATTATTGACATTTTGTTCTATCTCTCGACAGAAAGGATGGGAGAAGCCCCTAATGTCTGATCAGAAAAATGATTTTTTGTAAGGATTGGCTCATCAAAAGCCCAAATGTTATATCTCGTTGGAAATGTCTTTTCATGCTTTATCTCGTGGTGAATGCGTAATGTCATTTACTCGATATGGAAACCTATAGATGGCGTTGTTTCAAAAGAATGCACATTTTGACGCCAAAAAGGGTTCGATATCTTTTTTTGTTATCAAGTTATTCGCAAATTTGTGAGCAAAAAATAAATAATGATAAAGGTAATGAATTGAGGAACACGACGCTAACGAAAAGACATTTAATTACCAAAACAAAATGCGTTTATAGAAGAAAGTGGGACATCCTATATGTATAATCTTTACTGAAGTTTCCAATCAACCAACGTTTTGACTTTATTCCAAATCTCCCTCAGGGAGACATTAAAACAAAATTTGAAAGCATTCCAATATTTTGAAAAACAAACACAGACTAAAATTATTAATTAAATTTAATTAACATTAATTTAATTTAATAATAATAGCATTCGCGTAATTGTAAGACATCACGCAGGATGTCATGCAAAAGAAATAAGATTTCCTCAATTACCGGTCTTCCTTATCTCACGAATACCTTAAAAACAACCTTGGGAAAACATAGTTAATTGTCGGAAATGCTAAAATCTAAAAAGCATCCCACTTTTAAAATTATATGCAATAGTTTAAGTCTTTGCATCATAACAAACTACTGTTATTTACACTTATATTAATGACTACTTGAGGTAGATCACATGTCAACATTGACTTATTTTGTGCATAAGTAATTTGTTGTGCTGGTTCGTATATTTTTTTTCTGGTACAGAGACTGTAGCTCTAGTTAAAATCTAACTCGTGCGTAAGAAATAAATATATGACGATGATATTTACTGACAGCTGTGATATTTATATTACAATATATTATTGCCTATAGTTTCATTAGTACTTATATATTATTTCATTTAAGCCATTTGTGCGTAAAATAAGAGTACACGCTACCAATGTCCCTCAGTTCTCAAGACTAGAAATCGTAGTTCATGAGAAATGTATAACAGTCTTCCTATTATCGATGTTATTATTGCCGGTGCTCCCAGTAAATCTCATAAAGCGGTTTTACTTCGATATAATTCAACGATTCCAGTATCAATTAACTTCAAAGATTTCGATCAAAGCCAACTCGAGTTGTAGCTAGCTCATTAGAGGGGTTTCGCCATGAAATAAATTAGTAAATAATTGCAGGTAATAAAGCTTCAATCTCCAGTATTGATCTACTTTAAAGCTAGCATTGCTGCTGAGTGGAAAAATAGATTGCGAAAAGTGTATTAGAAAAAAAAAACAAACATGAAAATTACTATAAATAAGAAAATAACGCCAAGTAAAAATATACTAAATATTTTCTCCTTTATATTAATTTCAAATACTTGGGAGTTTTTAAAAGATTTTCTGATATTTTATGAACTGTCCTCGTATGTTTGCTTTTATTTAAACTTGTCTTCTCTCTTTCTATAGTCTTTCCGAAGTCAGTTCAACATGTATATAAACGCCTAGCAATAAAATTTAGTGAGTTTAAAATAGTTTTCTGCTAAAGGTAAAAAAGTAATAATAATAATGTGTAGAAAATTTCTATTATATGTTCATTTGGCCAACAATATATTTTTTCTTTATATAAATTATAAATTGTCCGCTGAATTATGTCTTTCGCCATGTCATCGATATTATTAAATTTTTGTTTTCGTTTCCTCTTTACGCAATGATCTACCTTGTTTAATAACACGAAAAATTGTGGACACTGAAACTTTAGTTAATATGTGAATTCTATTTATAATTTCATTATCTGATTTTTCAATTTCTTCCTTCATCAACAACCGGTTCTACTAATTCAATATTGTATGGCGGCATTTCGTTTTGTTCCGTTTCAAAAGGTCTCCAAAATGCCATGTTGTAATCATATTTATAAACAAAATATCCCTCTTATTTCTCCCTTTCGCAATTGTAATATGAATGATTAACACACCAAATTCCGCATTGTTGCATTGTATTGCTAGGCAATTTGTCAACAAGTGAAGTTTATGGCCCAGTCGCCCAGTGCGGCTGTGTTTAGTCCGACCAGACCTGTATACGGGTATGACTACGTTTGCTTTTATTTAAATTTGTATCACCCTGTATATTACTAGAAATATGATTTCAATAATATTTATTTCTTAATGACATAAAAAGTATATTAATGTGCCGATTCAACACAAATTAGTGGACCAACAAGAGAGGACATTAATGTGCCACTCTGTATGTCTTCAGGCGAAACCAAACATCCTCCGCTTCGCGTACCAACCGAAGAACTCATTACCTCTAAAAGATGTACAACAACCGTCCCATTACCGACGTTGCTGTTGCCTGGTGCTCCCCATAAATCCCATAAAGTCGTTCCCCCAGTAATATAATTCAACGTTATTTCACTTCTAGTATCAGTTAACTGCAAAGACACCAAGATCGCCGTCCAAGTACGTACTAATAAGCCTTTCAATGGGAGGATTTATGCCCTGGGTAGATCGGAGACTTGCAATGTCGACGTACTCAACAGCGATCTCTTCAGATTGGACCTGACCATGACTGGGCAGGATTGTAATACGCAGTCTGTGGTAAGTAATGGTGCTGGTTCTCATTCGCGGGGAAAAAAATCAAGTGGGGTTTTATACGCGGATATCCTACAAGGTATTTCGGGAAAGTTATAAACTATTGCACCAATCGGGCCCAATTTGTGACCACATATAAAGGATTATAATACCCTCATTTTTAGTAGATTAAAATTCGCCTATGACCATTATTGTAAAAGCTATTAACAAGTAAAAACCACTGAAAAAATGCAAGTTTTTTGCAATTATCTCGATAAATAATGCACCGATTTTAATGAATAAAAAAAGAAATTGTATGTTTTTTTATACCTACAACTTTCATATCCTTTTTCTCTATCTTGCCTCTGAAAAATTATATTTGAGAAAATCCATATTTTGACTACTTTGACCATTGTTTATTCGGAGTGGGGTCAAAATTGGCTGTACTATAGTCTGTTTAGAAATGAAGAAATCGTAAATAAATGTAGTACTGGTGCTTATATTCAATATTTTTATATTATGTATTATCGGTGTAGGATAAGGTGTACTTTTAAAAAAACTTTGTGCGATCGGACTGTACTAAATTGTAGCAGGTAGCTAAAATTTAATCCTCGACAATCCGTCTTTGTCTATGCCGCTTCAATTTCTCGGTCCATTTCTCTTATAAGTAAACAATATAAAAACAGCATTTCAAAACATGAGGCTACTTTAAGCATCATAACCGGGTTAAGAGGGTTTTTAGTAATTCAAATAAAATTATTCAATATTATTATCAAAATATTTATTTAAATTTAATGAATAGACTTTTATTCCACACAAAAATATATGTATTTTGAAAATTCAAATTATGGTGAGTAAATGTAGTGTTGTATAAATGTACAATAAAGAAAATAAAAAAGTAGGTATATTAAAATTCATCCTCTGAATATTCTGATGAATTATCTTCGTCTCCTAGATTGATAACGATAGGTTCCACAGTAACGTCAATTAAATTATCGAGTTCCCACATTTTCTCCTCTTCTTTTTGTACATGATGTATACATCTTTGCCAGTTATCTGCAGTTACTCGTTCCAAGGAATTTTTTAACAAAATTTTCACGTCACTTAATTTAAACGTCGTATTATTTCGCGCTACATCTCCTTTTACCTGCGCCCAGACTAATTCGATTGGGTTAAGTTCACAGTGATAAGGTGGTAACCGTAGTACCGTTATTTGGCGATTTGTTGCCATTTCATCGATAACATA